ACCAACTGGGTCACGCTTCCCCTGTCAATGCTTAGGTGAAGGTCATCTACCAGAGCACCAGAGCAGTCTCCACCCCAAATCCTGGTCTGAAGCTGGTTTGAAATGAATCTAGAAAATCGGTTTCATCCAAGATCGCTTGGAGTTGGAAGGCAACGGCCCACTCGGTCACCTTGCTCAAAAATGGGAGATGTGACACAGGACTGTAATTTTTCAAGTTCAGGGGGTCCAAGGAAGGTTTCTTCAGGAGCGGTCTCACCACCACTTCCTTTAAACAAGCTGGAACCACTCCTTCCCTAAGGGATGCATTGATGGTCTCTTTAAGAAAGGCCATCAAGGCATCACCCCCCTGTATGACCAGCCATGATGGGCAAGGATTGAGGGGGCATATCGTCTTCTTCACTTTTCCAAGGATCTTGTCCACGTCATCAGTACTCACCGGCTCGAACTGATTCAGTTTAATTTCTGAAACGGGTTTACTGGACACATCCTCAGTTGATTCTGTTAGGAATACGTGACATTGCTTCACAAATCTTTACAGAATTGCCTCCTTAAAATTGATGCTTTAAAAGCAAAGCAAGCTACCTTTTCAGAAATGTATAATACAGGGTCCCCCTAATAAAAAATTGATCAAATATGAATCAGAACTGTTTGGTACCAATCCTAGCTCTTTGAATAAGGCACCCCTTAGATCTTTATAATTTGGGCATACAAGTAGATAATGGGTTGGATCTTCAACTGCATTGGATCCACATGGGCAAACTTTCTTCCCAAGTGATCTGTTGATAGTGCCATGAATCATAGCCGAGGCCATTGACTGGCATCGGAGAGCTGTAAAAGCATATCCCCTTTTGAAGTTAGTTATACAGTAAGTATTGTGTGTAGGGTGTTTGGATAGGTAATGTAGCATACCAGGGAGTACCTTTCAATAGGTCAGCAGAATTACAGTCTGTTTGGAAGTCATTTTTTAAGATATAAGACTTCAGATATTTTACAGCTTTGTCATAGTAGCTTAAAGAGCACAATGAGTCCGTTGAGAGCTCATACAAATCAATGAGTTGTAAAAATTTCTTGGTTTCAAGATGGAAACGTCTTGTTATCATAATTCAACATTTCATTAAAGGTAGAGTTCCATCATGCATAAAGGAGGCAGTTTATGCCAGCCCCTGACTGAAAAAACCTTTCCTGGATTCCATTTTATTGGACAACCACCAACATTTCATTACTGTACTGGAGCATGGGGCAGTCAATCAGCTCCAGGAGTCACAGGATGAGATGAATTAGTTGTCCCTCCAGATTTGCGGACTTCGGATTCGCGGTTTTGATTATTCACGAATAGCCGGCTCTAGCTGGCAATGGGAAGGGACAGGAGGGCAGGGGAATGAGGAGAGGCAGGTGCATGCCTGTGCCTCTTCTCCCCCCCTCCCCGTCCCTTTAACTGACTCCCAGAGCTGGTTAAAGGCAGGGGAGGGCAAGGGAAGAGCTAGGTGAGCTCCCTCTGGCCCCTCCCATGTCTTGGACAGCTGTCCCAGGCATCGGAGGGGAGGTGGGAGGGGCTCACTTTATTCACGGGTGTCCTGTTCTCCTAACCCCCACGAAAACGGAGGGATGGCTGTAGAGCAATTTCAATGTGGTTTCAAGCCTGGCTGTTGGACCAAGACAGCTATGCACACTGTTGGCTCAAGGGTAGATTGGGAAGCACCCTATAGTTTTTGGCTTTCTGAGGTCTCCCCCTGTCCCCCCAAAGTTCTTGATTTGGGAGGGAAAGACTATCCTGGGCCTAAAACTGCTATGGGAGAGAACTATAGTGCATTTCCCTCTTGTCCTCTAGAGGGGGAATTTTGAGTAAAAACAAAAATTCTGAACTTTTGGGGAGATATGGGGTTGGAGGGGCGCCTGGAGGGCAGTATTCCAAGATCTGGTGATAGTTGTGCGGGCTCCAGACCTCAAATAGTTGTCCTCTCTCCTCTCGTTTCCTTAGATTGCTCAGTCAAGATTATTGGCTCCCCCACCATTTGACATAATTGTATACTGATGTTTCATATCTCTTCATTTTTGCCCATTATCTTAAACATTTTTTAACATAGGAAGGAATCTTGCATTCTGTAGGAATCAGCATTTGTAGATATCATCTCTCGTGCATAGTGCAGGAAGGAAAATATAAACCAATGTTGTCATTGTTGTATGTGTTTACAATGTGTTTCTTATGTTACAGGTCAGTAAAATATTTTTGAATAGGAAAGGTGTCACTAAGAGAAAGTTAAGTAGCAGTGCTCCACCCTTCCCCCCCTTTTTAAGAACCCACAATCCAAGTTTCAAACTGTTTGAACTAAGATTTGATCCAAATCAACATTAAATTGCATTATGCAGATGTATTTAGTCCTTGTTTAGAGTACTTTTTTCCTTGCTTTTTGTGGTAGGAACAACAACTATACTGTAGCTTTTAACACTGCAGTAAGCAAAACTGAATCTAAAAGTTATAGTTGTCAGTAGGCCGAGGTACTACGAATGTAGAAGCCTTTAATTTGGTTTAATTCTGACTCTCCTAATAACAACCAGATTATATGTTTAACCTAAGCTAGAGTGAATGAATAATGCATAATAATTTGTCTCCCCCCTCCTTGATAATTATTTTATATTCACTTTGAAGCAGGATATCTATTTAAAAACACAGTACAAAACAATGATAATATATGCACTGGAAATTGTGAAGATCAGGATGTCTTTGATCATAATTTAGAAAGGAAGGCTACCTTTAACTCAGTCCAGTTCTCTATCCTGCTAAATTTTCTGACTTTTAAAAAATTAATCAGCAGTTACATTTTATTTCTTAGACACTAGTCATCCCTGTTCTCCTTTACTCCCCAGTGAAGTACATTATTTTAGCTAAGATTTGGTTATTTTTCTGGTTGGTTATCTTAAGTGATTGGCTATTTTTGGATGTCATTGTTATTCTCTTTGCTTATTGCCAAATGTTTGGTGGCATACCCCTCAGGGCTGGGGATAACAGAGGAATCACATAATAGTTTTCTTTTAACCTGTCGCCACACTATTTTAGGCTGTGGCACATCTGTCAAACTCTGTAGTCTTCACAAGTAAGGGCCCTTTATTGGACTGCTTTGTTGTCTCAAAATAGCTGCCTGTCCTTTGAAATTCACTTCAGAGATATCAGTGAGGCTAAAATGCACCTGTGTTCTCTACATAAAATTAACTAGACTGTAATCTTGAAGCCATGTTGGCACTGCACAGCAAAAATAACTGAGTAAGTGAAATGATACCTCTTGTTAGGAGCAACTTGTATACCAGATGGAGTATATGTTAGTTTTGGAACAAAACTCTTCCTCGGGGTGTAAAGGCAAGAAAAGTGGAAAAAAGGATGGAGTACATATGCTTGGGTCAGACCACAGACTGACTGTTATTATCTAACCCTTTTCTTTTTTATTCTTAAGATAGGAGGAAGAGGTTTTGGAAGATCTTTTGCAATGTGGTGATCCTAAAGCGTGTTTGTGTGTGTATGTGCCTTCAAGTCACTGTCAACTTATGGTGATTCAATGGATTTCATAGGGTTTTCTTGACAAGCAATAGTCATAGAGGTGCTTTTGCCAGTTCCTTCCTTTGAAATGTAGCCTACAGCACCCGGTATTCCTTGGTGGTCTCTCATCGAAGTACTAACCAGGGTTATCGCAGCTTAGCTTTTAAGATCAGACAGGATCTGGTGTCTTCCATGTTCACACGGAAGTAAATCCTCATGTTTAGGATTCCAGCCTTAATCTTATTATGGTCAAGCTTTCAGCCTGAATTTCAATTTGTTAAAAAAGCTAAAGACACCAAGCTGTAATGAATGTGCGTTCTTTGAAAAAAATGTAAAAGCAAAAACAAAAAAAATATTGAATGTGAGTCTTGCTCAAAAGGTACTAGTATTAACCCCCCACACTCAAAAAACATATGTCTGTTGACTTATATTATTGAGTTATTGAATGACCTTTGTCTTGGCACCATCTTGGCCTATTTTGAAATCTGGATCCTATTTAAAAATGACAAACCTCTTGGCCTAGGAACATTATGCCTATTAGGTGTAAACAAAAAAGTTTGAGGGATTCAAAGCAATTGTGTTTATGCACTGGTTAGGTGGAAAAGGGCTGAAATTGTGGTCCAAAAGACAAGGCTGTGTTTTATACTTACAGTCACTTTTGGTCCATGAGGTGGCTGATGGCCCACTCCGATCCTTTTGACTCTGAATTGTATTGGTATAGGACAGAATTTTGTAGTCCCAACTTGGTCGTGTTTTTTCTTTTTTCTATTTGATGGTGATGGAGAGAATAGTAGGTTCTTCCTGTCACCTGAAATTTCTTTTTCTTTCTTCTTTTGGATACTTGATTCCTCCTGGTAGTCAGTGAGTGTGTGGTCTATATCTAGACATGATGAAGCAAGAGAATATTTCCCTTCTACAATCATTCAAATTTCAGTTAGCTATTAATTGATATTGAACATTATTTCATTTTGGTACATCTTAACTGACAGCCAATGTGGTACAGTGGTTTGCATGTTAGACTATGATTCTGGAGACCAGAGTTTGAATCCCAGCTCAGTCAAGGCTCATGGGTGACCTTGGGCAAGTCACACACTCTTAGCCTTAGAGGAGGGCAACAAATCTTGCCAAGGAAACCCCTTGATAGATTCACTTTAGGGTCACCATAAGTTGGAAGCGACATGAAAGTATGCAACAAACTTTTTTTTAAAAAAAAATTGAAAAAAGTGTTCCTCTGCATAGCTGGGAAAAGGAATGTTCTTTCAGATTGTTAGTTCAAACCCTTTCAAAAATAAAATGTTAGTATTGATCAGGTACCAGTTTGGTGACTGAAAAAAAGCTCATAATGAAATCTGATAGTATTTTCTTCTGTTTCAGAAGCGAAAAAAGTCTGAAGACTGATAAATCAAGCTGTGTTAGTTTCAGGAGCATCTATTTTTCTCTTTTCTTGAACCTTCACCCTGGAAGGATTGAGTGCAACCATGTTTTCATACTGTATTTTACTTTTTAAAAAGTGCTAAAAATATCCAAGCAAAATGCTACAGTAATCTATAAACTTTAAGCACATTTATATAAAGGAATCCAGCCCCTTACAATTCCACATACCTTCGTAGTGGATATTTTATTTCCAGTGCGTTGGAATAAAAAAGATTATTTCTCTTGTTGGCTCA